GGCCCCGTGGGTGTCGGCTGCCTCCGCCTCTGGTCCTCGCAGAGATGCCATGGGCAGGCCCCCAGGAGGGCTTCCCACCATCTGTGAGTCCAGAAGCCCCGACTCCCATTCAGGCTCCCTCCAGAGACGCCCGCCTCGCCTGGGCTCCCTCACCTGGGCATCTGGAGGGGGCTGGGTGGTCTGCCTGCTTCCCCTCCCACTCCCCCAGTGCTTGCCTCCGTACCCAGGCCCTCGCACCTGCCTCCCGTGCTGGGACCACGGGCCATGAGTGAGGAGAGGTGCATGCCAAGTGCGCCGTTTGGAGGGACAGTCCCAGGAGGCCATACTTCGGGGCGGGGGCTTCCTGTTCTCTGGGACGCCTTCCTCTGCCCCATGCAGGGCTCCCTAGCTGCCTCTGGTCCCCACCTCATCACTAGCCGCTGGCCCAGAGACCCTCCCTGTCCCGGAGGCCTGTGGGTACTGGGTTGTTTGTCTTGTGGGTCCTTGAAAGCGCCTCTCTTTCCCCAATTCAAGCCAGGCCTTTAGGATTCAAAACAGACCTCACAGATCAGCAGTCAACCCGGCCAATGATTTACCATTTTAATGGAGGTCTCTTACTAGTGTTCATCACCTGCCACTAGTGGCCCCTCAGTCCTCCTTGGACACCCCAGCTTCCTGGCTTCGGGGACTTTCCCTTCCCGTTCCCAGGCTTGAATGGGTTGGGTTTAAAAATATTTTTTCTGCAGCTACAAATGAGGACGCAGGGGAGCAGAATGCCCCCCCCCCCGCCCACTCCCTTTTCCCTCCTCCTCCCATTCTCTGTCCTTCCTCTCTTTCCTCTCTCTGTCTGTCCCTTTTCTGTCTCCCACTATCCCTGTGTCTCAGGAAAACCTTCAGCCAGCCTCCTGGCTGCGCCCCACCCAGGGGGCACAGCAGCTGCGGGGGGGAGAGGCTGTGGGCCCAGTGACCTCTCTGAGGCTGCCATGGTGACAGCAGGCGGCCATCGCCACTGTTGCCCGTAAGTGGACCTCCCTCAGGTGGGTCTGGCTCCTTGAGGAAAAGCGGGCCCTGACCTGGCTGGCGGGCCTGGGAACGTGAGCACCCGGTGCCGCTCCCTGCACACCCTCCTGCGGTCACGCTCCGAGGTGCCTCCTCTAAAACTGAAAATTTTTTTTAAAATATATTTTATTGATTTTTTACAGAGAGGAAGGAAGAGAGATAGAGAGTCAGAAACATCGATGAGAGAGAACCATCAATGAGTCGCCTCCTGCACATCCCCCACCAGGGATGTGCCCGCAACCCAGGTACATGCCCTTGACCGGAATCGAACCTGGGACCTTTCAGTCCGATTTTTTTAATTAAAGAAATATTTTTATTGATTTCAGAGAGAGAAATGGAGATAGAAACATCAACGATGAGAGAGAATCATTGACCGGCTGCCTTCTGCACGCCCGCACTGGGGATGAGCCCGCAACCCGGGCTTGTGCCCTTGTTTGGAACCAAGGCCCGCGCTCTACCCACTGGGTCAGCCCGGCCAGGGCTAACGTGGGGATTCTGTGGGGGCCCGGTGAGGGCGCCACCCTCGCTCTGGACAGGGCTCGGGCTGCAGGCCACAGAGGCTCCCCTGGGGCCACCTGTACGCAGGCCTCTCCTTCCCATCTCACCCCTTCCTGTAAACGGCAGAGCAGTCAGCACTCACTGAGGCACCCACAGCCGGGGTGCCCTTCACCCTACAGCACCTTTGGGGGCGGGCGGGGTGGGGTCTTTGCCTGAAGGGACCGCTGATCCAGCAGCTGCCAAAGGCCCCTGAGGGCTGAGGACCGCTGGCCTTGCACCGGGAGGGTCTGTTCGCGCCCACCTCTCTCTCCCCCTGGTGATGGCTGTCAGGCGCTGGGGGAGCCATGAGGGGACTCCGGTGGCTTTGGAGGCAAGGGCTGGACCCTGAGCCAGCCTCCAGGGCACACCCAAGCGGGCCTGCTCCCCACCAGTGGCCTGGGAAGACCAGTGTCCGGGAGTTGGGAGTTGTCATGCGAGTGCAAATGTGCCTAATGCACGGCTGACTTCCTCTTCCTGCCTCCTTCAGAGACCAGGCCTGGCCTAGTGTCTGGAAGAAGAGGCAGATGGGGGAGCTGGGCTGGACCAGGAGACCTGGGAGGCTGTTCGGGGTGTGCTCCCCTGACCCCCACCTGTCTCCCTCCAGCTGGACCCACAGAGGTCAAACCCCCAGTCTCCTGGGAAGCAGCCCCCTGTGCCTGCCTCTTTCCTTGTCTTTTCCTAGTGTTCTCGAAAAGTCATCCTAATTGTAACGATTAATAACAGAGCCCGTGGCAGCCCTTAAAGACGCAGAGCCCATTCTCTCCTGGCAGAGCGGCGGTCTCTGAGCCGTGCCTTTGATGCCATGCCTTTGTTCCTGTGTCCCTGCCCCGCCCTGCATCTGGGGTTGGAGGTGGGTGTTGGGGTGAGCATTTCGGCTGCTTCTCCGCCAGGCGCTGGGCTTTCGCATTTTAATTGAACTGTCTTTGCTCAGAGATAGATGCTCTCACCACATCCAGCTGCTCGCGGGGATTGGGAACCCGCCCGCAGTGCCGCGTGGCTAAATGAAAAGACGCAGCAGCTGGACTGATTAGAGCGGGGGAGGGTTGGACACTGGTCATAGCACTTTCTCTTTGTAAATAATGTTTCTGGGTAATGCATTTTGGAGAATGTGAAAAAAATAAAAGCTGCAGAAATGTTAATGATATCCACAGGACACAGCAGGAAATGAGAGCGATCTGGGACTAATAAAAGCTGAAATAGAATCTGTGCAGATATACAAGGCGCAGCCTTCAGAATGGGCTTGGCTTTGCGCATCTGGGCTCATAGCACAGCGTGGGGGTGGGGAGGGCAGCGCTGGGGCTGCAGGGGTGGCTTCCACCTGCTGGCCCCACTGTGGGGAGGCAGCCAGGGTGCCTGCCCGGGACGAAGGGGGGCACCTGGGTGGGCCTCCTACAGCCGTTGGGTCAGGAGGTACAGGGCTGCCCTGTACCTGTCAGGAGCCTCCAGGCCAGAACTGAACTCTGCCCCAGCTCCTCGGGGCTGGCCTGTGGCAGCAGGCACCGCCTGTGATGTTTGATCCAAGCGCCAGAGATGGGAGCGCAGTGGCAGAAGGGCAGGCACGTCTCGCATTGTTGGGGGCCTGAGATAAATTGGGGAGGCCAGAGGGCGTCTGGCTTTGCTGGGCCTGGTGGGCAGGAGCTCGCCACAGGACACGGGTCCCCTCTGCAGCGTGGTCTTCGGCGCTGAGCCGGCACCAGCTGCCGGCGAGGGTCACGGAGGCGGGCTGTCTGGCTGCCCTGGGCTCGCTGGGTCAGCCCCAGCAGTGAATGAGGACGGGGTCTAGGCAGGGTCCTGGAGAAGAGGAGGGGTGAGCGGGGCCTCTTGGGGCAGCACCTCCCCTCACTCCACATCTCCCCTTCTCCCACCTGCATGTCTTTCTTCCCTGTGCTTCTGTACGTCCTCTGGTTTCTCCTGGAATCCTGTTGCCCATGCAGGCCGCCCTCGTTGAGCGCTGGCCATGGAAGTCCCCGCGCTTTCCTGGAGACCTAGGGTGTGCAGGCCGAGCCGGGCCAGGGTCTTCCTGTCCCCTCCCTGCCTCCAAACCCCAGCCCTGGTTGTGGGTAAATCCTGAGCCCCCTGGGCTCCCCAGCCTGGAGCGTACCGTGCTCCCCCCTCTGCGGAGGCCTTCTGAGGTGACCAGGCCTCCCGTCAGATGGGAGACCTGCAGCCTGGACGCTGACGGCTGGTCTGTTTTCTGAATCCAGTTGCTCTGCCCAGAGGGCCTTCACCCCAGCGGCATTTCCTGACCCGGATCCTGCTTCGGGGTCGGCTAGGCCCCGCCAGGGCCCCAGCCCCTAAAATCACAAACAGATGGGCTCTTGGCTTGGTGTGACCTGGCCCTGACCCTGTGGAGGCCAAAGGGACCTGTCAGGAGGGCCTGGGCTGCTTCACACACACACACACACACACACACACACACACACACGGAACAGCAAGGGTGAAGCTCTGAACTACCCCCATCCATCAGTCCCTGCACATGCATGGGCACACAGATACCTCAACATCCACTCGTCTCCCCTGAATATTTGTCTTCGCTGCACACATACACAGGTGTTATCACTATATGTATTTACATGCCTAGTGTATGGGCAGCTGCTCCTTGTAGAGCGTGAATACCGATATCT